CTTTAAAAAGCTTTTTTTTTTCATAAAAAAAATAAATATCGTAGGTATCTTTAAAAAGGAAAAGTTTCTAAAATCTTAAGCTTAAGAAGCATAAATTAAAAAGTATTGTATAGTATTCGAAAATTCAAGTTTCAGTATTCATAAAATTTTAAGTGTGGAAAAAAATAAAAAATTGATAATTAAAAAAAAAATACAATCTTTAAAATATTAAGTATTGCGTTAAAAAAAACTGTAATGTATATAGGGTGAATGCGGTTCTGTACAAATGTGGAAACACAAATCTTTGAAACCAAAGTTTCATATTTTGCATTTTTTAGTTTTTTCGTTAAAAAAAAATGTAGAAACCTAGAAAATTTATAATTTCAGGTCTCTTTAAAAAGCAAAAATTTTTGAAATCTTAAGCTTAAGAATCTTAAACAAACAAAATTAAAAAAAAGTTTTGAAAAAAAACTAGTTCTAGTTAAAAAAGTATCAATATCTTTAAAAACTTAATATTTTTAAAATTTTAAAAATGAGTCTAACATAAAACACAAGAATCTTTAAGATCTCAAGTTTGGAAATCTTGAAATGAAAAAAATGTTAAGAAAAATTATTACACATCATAAAAAACAAAATCTTTTAAATATTATATATTTTTAAATAGTCAGTTTTATGTCTTCAACAAGTAAAATTATGTAAAATAAGAAGCACAAAAACAAAATAAAAAAGTCTTGTATATAATATTCGAAAATTTTAGTTTGAGTAGTTTTAAAAAACTTAATATTTTTAAAATGTTAAGTGTGGAAATGTTGAAAACAATTATAACTTATAAAATATCAAATTGAATTCCACCCCAGTTGGGGTATTTATTTTCCAATGTTACCAACCTGCAACTTTGGAGTCATAAGCCACCCCAACCCCACAAATGCCATTATCCCTCGCAGCTGCCACTTCTCCGGCACATCTCGTTCCGTGACTGAAATACACAAAACACATTTTCAGTGATTCCCCAGTGGTGCCAACCACGGCACTAATTTACATATTTCCCTATGATTTTTCGTTCACTCTCAAAGTGCACATTACTGTTCCTGTCATCCTCATCCAAAATCGATTTTATGTCACTACCAACATTAGAAAAAAAAAGAAACTAGCTCACCTGTTAAACCAATCATCCGTGTATCGAGGATAAGGAAACGGATCGTTGCTGCTGAAGTCGTAACTGGCTTTCGCGTTCTATAATGAAATTTTTTTTCAGGTTTTTCAGATTGATTCAGGTATTTATACTTACGTAATTGTATTTCAGGTCGGGGTGCATGTAATCGACTCCTGAAAAATATCAGATTTGTGAAATTGGAGTAAATAACAGATCGTGTTGTGTAAGCGGATTAAATCGGGGATTATTGAGCTGTTATGTAAAGTAATTAAATCAAATTTGCATAATTGGGGATTCGAAATTGTGATCTTGCTTAGATTTTCATAAAAATAAGGATAAAAAATTGAAAATAAAGGTTTAAAAGTTGTTTCCTGGTAAAAATCTGGACTTTTTTGTAATTTGTGATATACACAAGTTGGCAAGGTTTAAAAAATGCAACTTAGGTTTAATTTTGTTTCTATATTTTTTCACATAAAATTTTTCATCATAAAATTTTTCAAAATTGTTTTTTCATCGATTTGTTTCGTTTTTTGAAGTTTTAAGATAAAAATCTGATGGTTTTTTAAATAAAACAAAAATTTAAAAAAATGTAAAAATTTAAAGTCATTATAAAATAAAATAACAAGTTTTGAAAGTTTAGAAAAATGCGTGAAAACTTTACTTTATAATAATACAAAAATATATTTATAATTTTGCTTTTTTTTGAGCTTTTTCCTTCACGAAGAAAAAGTTTTATACTTTTTAGACGTTAATAAAAATATACCGGAAATAGAACCAAAAATGTCTATTATTGTTACGAAAAACCAAAAATAAATTTTAAGAAATGTATTTGATGATAAAATCTTAATTTGGCAACACTGACTGTCAAATTTAAACGTCACAATTTTATACTTAATTGTCATTTATTTGCGACAGGTGACAGCTATGAATAAAACACCAAAAATAGTGAATTTGTGTTGGCAACATTGAATTATATCAAGGATACCGTAAAATATTAATTTGGCAACACTGACTGTCCAATTCAAACGTCAAAATTGTCATTTGTTTGTAGATTGTGTGATTTAAAAAAATGCAACGTAAATTTAAGAAATCGGAATTTTGTTTCATTTTTAAAATTTTTGGTAATAAACTTTTTCAAATCCAATAGTTTTTTTTAATGAGAGAAAAATAAAAAATGTCAAATTGGAATTTTTAGTGTAGAATAATATAAAAAAATAAACGTTGAAACTTCAAGTTTTACAATAGTTATAATGAGAAAGTTTGGACTTTTAAATAAATTAAAAAAAAAGAGGTAAAAATTTTTAGGTAAATCAAAAAAAATTAGGTAATTTTTTTTTGGTTTTTTAAGTTCTGAAAAAAATCATTCACATTGACGTAATTTCTTAGCAAGAATGGATTTTTTAAGTTTTTTGTTTTGTTTGGTTTCAATTTTACAATCAAATAAAAAAATGTCGGTTTATGTTACGAAAAATCTAAAATAAATTTACAAAAATGTATTTACAAATTTTTTGAATTTTTTTTTGTAAACAGCGTCGAGCATTAAAAAATGCAGGTTTTTTGATAAATTATCAAATTCAAATATATTTTGATCTGATAATATCACAAAACAGTAAAAACGA